TAACGCTTGTATTTTAATTTATAATGCATTTTGATATTAATACCTAAAAATGTAGGTATAGCAAATCTTTGCTCGGCGTATTTGGGATTATATATCATTACATAGTATAAAACAAAGTCGCTATAACTGTCTGTCCGTCCCTATGTATGCTTAAATCTTTAAAATTACGCAACGGATTTTGAAGCGGTTATTTTAATAGATAGAGTAATTCAAGAGGATGGTTTATATGTATAATACGTGTACACCCGTACGAAGCCGGGGTGGGTAGCTAGTAGTATATAATTTAAAAGTTACGGCTAGTAACTCTGAAAGTGATTCCCATGTAATTTTCTCCCAAGTACATCGACGTCAGAAAGATTTCCTATACCTACATGTTCAGATATTAATATTAAAATGGATCATAAATTAAAATATATAGGTACAAACATATTCCCTCCGATCGACCCCCCGTCCAAATTAAATCGATATTACGATGACCTGAGCCGAGGATCGAACCCCTAGTGGTGCCTTCAGACTAAAGTCATATCCGTCAGCCGGGAGTTGGCCTTCAGCCGCTCCATAAGTCCTTCCGCGGGTTTGGAGTGCCATCTGCAGTCGCCCCATATCGTCCGGTGAAACTGTAAAGGCCAGCTGCGGCCAACAGCATTAGAGTAGTCCGAAAAAAAAAGTACAAACATTATTATAAACTCTACTGAATTATCTATTACCGATAAAGATATTTACCTCTCTCGCCGTTTCGACTGGGTTGCACTAGCCGTGGTCACGAGCTGACTGGAGTTCTACATTGACATCGCTGTTGCTGTCAGTCGAGGTTATTTTATTTGCCATAAAATTATTTGTGTTAAGACCTGGTTAATAATTTAAATAATGTATATTAAACACGAAAGTTTAAAAGTAACTATCTAATACCAAATAAATTACTTTATTATTATTATTAACATATGTAAAATGGATATAGAAAAAATGGACAAAAAAACTTTTTTTTAAAAAAGGACTTTTTAGTAGTCCTAATTTTTTATTCTACCACTCATTCGGAACGTAAACTCATCACACGAGGAATGAGAAATGAACTTGTGTGTTGCATTTTTAAATAAATGTTGTTCAGGATTACTTATATTTTTTAAGATTTCGTTTGAATACAAACTGCCAAATAGCAAAATATAAATACATTTAAGGCAGAGTAAGGCCGAAAAAGAGATGGATGGACTGTGTGAAAGATGATATGGTAAGAAAGGAAGTAAATAACGCGATGACTGCGAACAGGGATGAATGGAAGCGAAAAACATATTACGCCGACCCCAAATAAATGGGATAAGAAAGAAGCAGATGACGAAATACATTTAAGTACATTAAGTAGTTTTAATACATTTAAGTAAATAATTAGTTACTTAAGTAACAAAATAAATCGGCCCTGCTTTTATCAGAGCAGGCCAGTCCGTACATGCAGTAAATATTAAATATTCCCTCCCAAATCTTTCAACTATAGTATTGTAATTGGTTTTTGTTGGAAGTTAAAATAGTTTGACATAGTTAAATAATTATTTATTTATTTATTTACGTCATGTTAAGTTAGTTTTACAGTCTCCCAAATGCTCACTTAGGAAGATTGTATACAAATACACGGAATTATAAATACTAATTACATACATACACACTAATTACACAAGGAAACAAAACAAAAATAATATCTCATCTTAATTTTCCATACTACCTAAATAATCTACTGCCATCCTACGAAACTCCAGCTAATTACAAGTAAATATGTCTAGATCTGGAAAGCGACTAACTACACCGTTGAGTAGATTCAATCCCAGAGAAATAGCAGCCTGTTTGGCCAGCTCTGTTCTCTCCATGGAACATCAAACAAATTTGTCTTAATGCTTGTACGTAAATTATATGCACATCTGCGGGCTAAAAGAAAGAAAGAAATAAAGGAAGAAAGAAAGATAGAAAGGAAGTAAGAAAGAAATAATCCTTATTCAAATAAACTCATTACCAGCACTTTTGAATAGTCATATTTTGATTCTACCACTCATTCGGAATGCAGATTCATCACAAGACGAATGAGCAAGAAACTTGTGTGTTGCTCTTTTTAATAGATGTTTTTTTTTATATAATAATTACAGTATAACAAGTAAGAGGCATGCGATGATCAACATAGAAATCGCTACGCACTCATTATTAATGTAATCAGATAATATTGTCAGAAAGTTAAAATAGTACTTTCTTTAATTTTAAAGTTGCAGCAGTCTTGCATTTGACATAAAGAGAAGTTATAACGACTAAATTATAATATTAAATTCCATAGAGACGACCTCTATACCGTTTATTTATATAATATTCTTTATTGCACTTAAATACATTTTTTATATATATTAATTAGAACTAATGTTAACAAAGGAGGTTAACTAAATAGTAGGATGTTAACTAAATTATGACAATAATTTAGTTTTTTAGTTTTTTACACATTCGTTACATACAGCGTCCGAGTTTTTTTTTTTAATATAAACATACAAAATACTAAAATATACAGTTCACCAAGATCACTAAAACTTTCTCTCGTGCACTTCTTAATTTTCCGTCTTTCCCATCTCTACATATTCATTACATAGTATAAAACAAAGTCGCTGTCGCTGTCTGTCCGTCCCTATGTATGCGGATTTTGTAGCGTTGTTTTTTTTAATAGATAGAGTGATTGAAGAGGAAGGTTTATATGTATAATACATGTACATCCGTGCAAAGCTGGGGCGAGTAGCTAGTATAAAATAAACAAAATCGTCGCCGCTGTCTGTTCGCTTATATCTTTAAAATTACTCAACAGATTTTAATGCAGTTTTCAGCTATAGATAGAGTGATTTAAGAGGAAGGTTTATATATATAATACATGCGTGTTATAGTATAACAAGCCGAGAAATTCAAAGATTTGTAATGCATGACGAGATGCCAGTATTCAAATGTAATATTATGTACCTTTTGTTATGAATAGTGTTTATCTATCTATATTGTGGTTGATATAAAACTCCTTTCTTTAGTCTGTGGTTTATTTAATAGTAGGTAGATAATATGAATGTTGGATTGTTATAAATTCTGGTTTTTCACAGTACAAACACAATATATTAGGTAGTTATCTTCATTGAGTTCTCGTGGTGCTATTTATGTATATTAAGGAAAATAGTTTTGTTTAAGCAACTTCATTAATATGACACTATATTTAAGTATAAACAAGGGATATATTCAAATAGTATGTGTGATCAAATATTATTAAATAATATGACGTGGTCTGGTGTTTTGAGTAGTCATGCTCACTAAAATGTCCAGACTTGTGGCGGCGTGGTGGGCCGGGTCATTGGGCTCCCTAAAATATGGTCGAGCGCAGTGGTGGCTGGCTCATCCGTCATACTCGTGAACGGGTGCTGCTTGTGTGGACTGGTCTGCTCTAATCACTATGACTTATTTTCTCTTATTAATTGTTTAACCAGTTGTTGTATATTGAATGTTTTTTCTATTTTATTATTTCATTGAATTAGTGCTAATCGGTGGTTTGTATTCACACACTTAAACTTAAATTGTAAGTAAGAATAAATTATTTAAAAGAGCAACACACAAGTTTCTTGCTCGTTCTTCTTGTGATGAGACAGCATTCCAAATGAGCGGTAGATTAAAAAAAAATGTTATGACTATTCAAAAGTGCTTCAATGTAAGTTTATTTGAATAAATGATTTTGTATTCTATTCTATTCTAGTAACTATTGTTCAATTAATAAAATAAATATAGATAACTATTAGTACTTACTGAGTGATATATATTTCGATATATTTATAGTAATTCAGGTTGGGAACATTGATTAGTTTTTTTGTTTTTGCAATAGCATATGATGGTGATCACTCTCTCCCAAAATTGAATTTAAATGAATCTGTATTATAGTAAACAAGTACAATATCTATTTAAAAAGAATACGAGCTGACTTTCTTGTCAGATCTTCTCATCTCGAAATCATTCCGAGCAGACGGTAGATTTGATATATCATAAGAATCTGTAATAGACCTACATGAATAAAGATATTTTGAATTTAAATTTGAATTAAGTATTAAATTATTTATGAAATAAACATTTTTATATTTATTAAATGCATTGAAAAAAATTGATAGGTCGTATTTTTATAGTTACCTATGTGTGTATTGGATATCATTGTTATTACAATAAATTCATTGGATTTGTATTTTTTTTTTTATAGAAACAGATGTTTACCCTCGCATTTTTCTTTTTAATAACCTAACTAATTATTGTAGCATTAGTAAAAAAAACTTGTACCTTTTAAAGATTAAACTTTTTATGAACCTAATAATAATAGTTTTAATAAAAATTAAAAATTTAACTTTTCAAGATTAAATTATACAATTATTTTATTTCTAGTTTTTCAAAATACACGTGCGACCGATTTTTTTGAAGACATTACATGCTATGAGCGAAGTAAACAAAGAAATAATATTAGAAACGTAATGAAACAACATGTTCCACGCCAGGAACTGGGCACATGCCAGATCTTTGTCCACATCGGCTGGCGAAGACGCTCCGCAAACAATTTCTAATTGATTTAGACATTTTATTTATTTATTTTAATGAGACTCTCGCTTAGACATTGGGTGACACAGATTCCAAGAAACGATATAGTCTTTATAACATGTAGTATGTAGTCATGTAGGTAGTTAGTAAATAAATCATATAAGGAAAATGAGAAGATATATATATTTAAACATATTTATAAGTTATAATGAAACAAAATAGGTATTTAGTTCTTACTAATATTATAAATTCTAATGTTTGTGAGTATGGACGGATGGACGGATGGACGCATGTTTGTTACTCTTTCACGCAAAAATTGCTGGACGGATTTTGATGAAAGTTTACAGTAATATAGCTTATACATCAGAATAATATAGGCTATAAATTTCATGCGTTGAAACCGCGGGCACAGCTAGTGTAACAATAAAAATACTCACGTCAAACAAACATAGTCGCGTATTTTTCATTGTCACCTAACGCCACTTTCGAACACACTTTCCCGTAGTAATACAATAATATCACAAAACACAAATTGCACAATTTCAAAATATGTCCGAGCGACTTTCGAAGTTTATCGGAATCTAAAAAATGCTGCGTTCGCGCGCCTCCGCCGCTCGGTGGGGAGGCGGTGCATTTTTCTCAACTGAACAATAAGAAATCACTTGCAACACCTCGCGGGTATTTAAATTCGGCACCGTTCTCAGCACTTTGACATTTCCCGCACTAAAAAACACATGTAGCGCGTCTAATTCCGAACGACTCCAACTTGGCGAAACTACTGCACACAAAAGTGGATAAGCACAACCACAGTCTAGCTCTACACCTATAGTTACAGTGAGAGAACGCCATTAACGTTGGTGCGAGCGGGATAGAATGATAGATATCCGAACGAACGACCGACGATGCATATTTCATGGAAAGAGATGGGAAGAGTTTGTCATGCACTCGACGGTATCCGGTATTCCCGTTTGAGATTTCTGTCGTTCTTTCTGTTTGTGTGGAGCATTGATAGCGTCGGTTGGAACGGCCAATGGTCACTGCATGCAACTGACTGTTCTGACCTCTATATTTTATCAATATATGAATAATAGAAATACGTCTAATGAATTCAGTAAATTATTAATTTCCATGTCATTCCACATCGAAACAAAGAGCCTGTAGTCTTAATGTATAATCAAAGGAATTTAGTACCTATCGCTATATAAGTAAAGTAGGTGAAACAATTGAAAGTATTTAATCTATAAATTAATCATAACTTAATGGCGTTATATTAATTAAATATATGAAATAAACTTTTGCAATTATTTATAAGTAATTTAGAACTTACAAATTTTCAACTTATATTTCTTATTTTTATATATCAAAATATTATATTAAATGAAATTATCGATAAACATTCAAATTGAACTGTGCACTACACTATTTATGTTGGATATACCTACACGTTGTTTGAATGACTAACAATGGATATTTATTAATTGAATAGATATTTTTTATGAATGCGTATTATTTACTGTCAATTGTTGATCTGTATTGCAACTATTTTGTCTAAGTCAACCGTATTCTAGCGCCTGACAGATTATAATTCTATAATTCTTGCATCTTGCAACAATTGCTCCAATATATAATCAGGCGAAAGTCATATTATCATGTATATACAATACATTATTTATTTAAAATAAAAATAGTAATTTAATTAACTATAATGTATATATTTTTCTTATATTATAGAGCAACGTTATATTCATCTTTTTTATGTTAAATAGCAAACAATAAATAACAATAAATAAATAAATAGCAAACAAGCTGACCTGATGGTAAATAGTAACCGTCGCCAATATTAACTTTTTACCTTTGTACCTCATCATTTTTTAGCTTTTTAATACCAGCCGAGTAGCATAGACATCTCTCCCTGTGCATTTGTATTTCTGTGTCCATATACTATCATTTAAATTTTGTATGACATATAATGACGAATACAAATGTTTGTACCGTGCAGGGAATCGAACCCGCGTCCACCGGAAGTAAAGCAGCATGCTAAATCGCTAGACTACCAAAGGTGTCACACAAAGTTAGCAGACAAAGTTATTTGGTATGGCCCAAATTTAAGCTTACGATATTTCGAAAACCTTCAAATTAAAATAAATCAAAATCAAAAAGCAGAGTGCCGTCACAACCAGTGGTAGTAATCTGAAAAAAGAAAGGGTATTATTAATAATGTGGACCTTATTACTAATAATGTATTGTACATTCAGTTAAATGCGTTTCTCCCTGGAAACAGTTGTGATAAATTCCTAGTGATTTTTTTACAGCACAGGGAACAAACGTGCGTGCGACACCTGATAGTAAGTGATTACCGACGCCCATGCCCACCCGTAATACCAGAGGAATTTTTTTATGGAAGATAATGGAATGGTATACTCGCCTGCGCTAACGGTTTACGCTGGCGGGGCACCAGTGGAGGATGATAAGATGAACATGATTTCAGGTCAGTTAGCCCATCGTGACAAATTCGCCAGGATTTATCACGATGGTTTCCAGAGGGAACCGCGTGGAGGTCAACCTGACATGGCACATAGCAATGGGGTCATTTGCCCATATTACTAGCAATCCCCTTCCCCCCGTACTGGAGGAATTGCAAGTGCGTAGCCGATTTTTTATTTTTATACTCCTATGGTGGCAAACAAGCAAACGGCCCATCTGATGGTAAATGGTTACCGTAGCCTATGGACGCCTGAAGCACCAGGGGTGTCACGTGCGCGTTGCCGACCCTTAAGAAACCTTAATATACCCTTCTTGAAAAACCCCATGCTGTAGTCTCGTGAGAAAACCTCGGCAGGAAGTTCATTCCACAATCTAAGTGTACGCGGGAGGAAGCTCCTCTGAAACCGCACTGTCCGAGACCACTTAGGTTCCAGCGTGTGGGAATGAATTCTCTGTCGATGGCGAGCGGTGCGATGGTGAAAGGTGGTTTCTTTTAAGAAGAAATTCTTTTCTTGAAGATTTCCAGTATAACGCCGGTGAATTTGTCACGTTGGGCTAACTTGTTAGCCTTTTGGCTTGGTTGGGCTAACTTGTTAGCCTTTTGGCTTGTCTGGGCTTACTTGTTAGCCTTTTGGCTTGGTTGGGCTAACTTGTTAGCCTTTTGGCTTGGTTGGGCTAACTTGTTAGCCTTTTGGCTTGGTTGGGCTAACTTGTTAGCCTTTTGGCTTGGTTGGGCTAACTTGTTAGCCTTTTGGCTTGGTTGGGCTAACCGCCACCCCACCTAGGTTTTAGGGTCTGGAGGTGGCGTGCAGACACTGTTCCCTGCACGCCCAGATGGAGGTCCCTTCGATGGGAACCATGCCGGTGGTCATGGTGAATGCTTGCGTATCCCATGGCCACGGCGATTATGTCGAGGAGGAACAGTCGTCAGGTTTTTAGCAGGTAGGAGTCCGGCAGTATCCATTCGTCCCTAAGCGGATGGTTCTCCATGATGGATTTTCCTGACGTGAAAAAAAAAACCGCCACCCCACCCGCCACCGTACACCGTTACAGCAGGTGCACCATTCCTTTATTAACAATAAAAAAAATCATAAAGCATTCACAGCGTCGTGGAATACAGTGGTACTAATTGGAAGAAGAGAAAGGGGTTATTAGTAATGTGGACTGATAACCATTGCTAGTGAAGTACTATGGCAGGTACGTCCCCAGGAAGTCATCGTGATAAGTTCCTGGTGAATTGGTGAATTTGCCACGAGGTGCTCACTAATCTGACATCATAATTAATATTAGACAGCCTCGGTGGTCTAGTGGTTTAGCACACCGCTTTACTATCCCATGGTCGTGGGTTCGATTCCTCGCACGCTACAAACATTTGTATTCATGAGTATGATTGTTTGTATCGGTCTGGGTGTTTTCTATGTGAAATATGTATTTATTTAAAAAAAAAATGTATCCATGTATTTATATCAGTTGTCCCATAACACAAGCTTGCTCTGCTTAGCTTGGGACTAGATGGCGCTGTGTGAATTGTCCAGAGATATAATCAAGGGGAAGGGAATTGTTAGTTATTTGGACTATAGTGATCTCATTACTAACAATATATCGTATATTGTTACAACAATATATAGTAATCAGGTTGACTGTCACATGGAAAACATTGTGATAAATTTCTGGTGGATTTGTCACGATGGCCTGACCTCATGCTCATCTTATCTTCACTGGTGCCCCGCCAGCGTAAACCGTCAGCGCAGGCGGGTGCACTATTAAACAAAAATATAAAATATTAACATTTTGCTACTTCAGCGACATCTAGCAAGAAGTAATGAAGTTCTGCATACGACGCCGCGGGTAAAAGCTTGTAACATTATAAACGCATAAGTTTGTAAATATAGGTGTTTACGCAAAAACTACTGAACGGATATTGATGAAACTTTACAGTAATACAGCTTATACATCAGAATAACGAATAGAATCAATAAAAAAAATCGAAGCAATCACAGCGCCGTGGCAGCATGTGCTACTAATTATTGCTCGCGTCGATTTCACGCTGTAGTTTATCCGCAGGGCTGGTAGTTAAGTTTATCAACAGCGATAACCGCCGATCAACCGCTATGTGGGTCGCAGTGGTTGCCTACACTTGTGTTTGTCTGTGCCACAGTCACTCAGGAAGTTCGTTATTTTCAAAAGCGACTAATATTATACCAATTCTTTGATTTTTTTATTATTGACTAGCTACTCGTCCCGACTTCGCACGGGTGTACATATATTATATATATAAAACTTCCTCTAGAATCACTCTATCTATTAAAAAAACTGTTTCAAAATTCGTTGCGTAGTTTAAAAGATTTAAGCATACATAGGAACAGAAAGCGACAGCTACTTTGTTTTATACTCTGTAATAATGATCCAAAACTAATAGTACATACTATTAGTTTTGGATGATTATATACAGATATTATGTTATCTGTGCTAATAGCAATTCTTTGGTTTTTTTTTGTTATTCAGTCATCCAAAACAATATAAATTGTGTAGGATAACTAACTAACTTCCCTTCCGGCCAACATGAATACAATACAACGGCGCATCCAGGGGGGGGAGTCATGGGGGGCGGTAAGGTTAGCCCCCCCCCCTCGAGCCCAGGACTTAGGTGGACCACTAATGGGCTCTAATATAATAGTCTGTGCCTACAGCTGGTACAGGGTAGATTTTGAACAGTGAATGTGATGCACAGACTCCTAGCGGTTCGTCTTTTCGGTTGACTTCGTCTGAGGTTCGGCATGATACGATTAAGAGAATGTTTATGGTCATTTTTTTTATATGGTCTAGTTACCTTTTATCACAGGTAACATAATATTACATACTTTTATTAACTAAATGATGCGATGGGACTGACATACCAAAAGAAGCTAAAATCGCTAAATAAATACAGAAAAAACAATCTTGCCTAAGTACAGAAACAGCGCCTCTTCATCTCATCGAATCTCATTGAATAGCACATCTTCAGCTGACACTCGTAGTCCTTATTCTGCGTTGACAATCCTGATGACCAAGTCATGACTTTATGCCATGTAACTTGACTACCATGTCTCACCTTTCAAACCGAGACAGCTTACTATGCAAGCTGCTTGGCGGCAGAAATCAGTGAAACAGACTTGGTACACAGTATATGCAACCTACTTTGGAAAAAATATAAAATCTAATTGAAATGAAATTTATACAGTAATTCTAGACCCTGAGAAAGGACATAAGGCTACTTTTTAATGCGAAAAAAGGGTTGAAAGGGTGATGAAAGGTTGTATGGAAATATCGTGTATTTATAAAGCTGGAAGTTTGACAGTTATTTTTAAGGCTGTTGAT